AGAGAGAGAGAGAGAGAGAGAGAGAGAGAGAGATTCTGAAGAAAGCACTACTTTTATTTATAACAGTCTATGATGCTTTATTATGTAGAAGTAGAATATTTTCTGGTAAGACCCATATGCCGAAGTTTGCAGTGCTTCTCAGAAGAGAAATGAACAAGGCAAGAGTGTCTAGCTTAAAGGCAACGGGGGAAATGAGCAGGAAGAATACGAACTCCTCAGTCACGTTCTCTGTTCCCTCCTGCTTTGCAGATGATGGACCGATGGGAGAGCCAAGGCAGTCCTCAAACCAGTTTATCTGCGCCGGCCATACCGCAGAACCTGCCCTTTCCCCCCGCCCTCCACAGGAGCTCCTTTCCGGACTCAACAGAGGCCTTTGACCCACGGAAGCCTGACCCATACGAGCTCTACGAGAAGTCGAGAGCCATTTATGAAAGTAGGCGTAAGTGAAAGCCACAAAAACCAGGGTACATTAATCACAGCTGATGCCCTGCCAGGAGGCGTATCCAGGCCAAAAGAACTGGCATGCTTTTATATTCTGAGGTTCAAAAGTATCTCCAAAGTGAAATCAGATGGTCTAAATTCTCTTAAGAGCTTGTTTTTCCCTATTTTTATGGTTTTGTTTTATTGGACAAATAATTGTATACATTGCTGGGGTACAAAATAATGGTTTTCATTTTGGAATGATCAAGTCAGACTAATTAGCATATCAAGTATTTATCATTTTTTTGTGCAGAGAACATTGAAAAACCTCCTTTAACTATTTTTAAAATATACATAATTATTAACTGCACTCCTGTACCTTGCTGTACAGTAGAACTTAGTGTCTTCCAATCTAACTGAAACTTTATACCCACTGATTTAAAAACCCTGTTGATTATAAAGTAAGTATATTATGTCTTTTGTTTTTAAATTTTATTTCCTATTTTTTTCCCATAAACCCTTGAAGAAAATCAGGAATTTTGGAATGGGAGCAGTTGCTAGTTTTATGTAAGTCCCCAAAGAAAAGCAATGGGACTTTTAGTCTGGTGAATCTGATCTGGAGCAAAGCTTGGATTTTTTTCTGAGGGTCTTGAAGGCAGTCACTGAAGAAGTCAGAGCCCTGAGTAAAATGTCAGCTAAGCCTCTGCAGCTCATAGCCCTGAAATCAGCTGGTTCCAAAGGCAGAGCAGAGCCAGGTGCCGATCATTTCTACCCAAATCCTCTGCTTCCCATGTAATGCAGTTTAGTCCATTTGAACATTGCCTCAAAATACCATGTCTGCACTTGCCACTCTCGTTGAAGGTCTCCTAGAATTATTTCATTACACTTTATAAATAATAGAAAACAAAGGCTTTTAATATTGCATGTACATCTGTGGTGCCTCTTTGCATCCCCTAAGATCATGTCCTGCATGTGTTAGAGGACAGGAATCTAAATGGCCCGAGTGTATCGTACACTGGGTAAGAAGAGCCTGAGCACACGACCAAGGAACCCAGCCTAGCGAAAGGGCTTAGTCCCTGGTGCTCCCGCCCACAGACCGCCGATTTCCTTCCTGCAATGTCCCGCCGATGTCTTGCTTCCAGCTTCACCATCTGAAGCTTGAAAAGGAAGTTTTCAATTGTGTGTGATCTCAGAGAATCTCAAATCTGCTTACTCTTTTGACGAGCTTAGGGACTGAATGTTATGCACCCATGTGGTAAAAGGCAAAGCAGGCATAATACTTTTCCCCATCCTCTCCAGCTCTTTATAGAAGTAATTTTGGTTGATAAAATAGGACAGCAAGCCATTGAGAACTCATTTTTATCAAAATGAACCTGTACTCCCAATTTTAAATAATCAGCTGCATCAGAGTGACTGTGGATGATCAAGTGAAGTGTCTTTAGAGGGCTGTGTCATTTAATGTCAGCTACCACAGAGGGAGAACAAAGTAAGCGTTCTTGAGCTATAAAATATGGCGTATGAGTGTAGGGGATTAGCATGAACGTGGGGTATTAGGGAAATTTGCAACAATGTCAGCACAGTTCTTATTACCTTTTCTCCTTCGGCAGCCAAGTATTTATTCACATCCCCTCCGCTCTAGGCCCCAAGGGCGGTATCAAAGATGAGCGCAGTGCCCGGCTCTCACAAATCTACTGCCGAATTAAGGAGAATGTAAACAAGTGGGGAGAAGACACTGCAGAGGTTCCGACTTTGAAGGAGGAAACACGTTGCAGCATCGTTTAAATAGCTGCCTCGTGTCTTTGCTTTGCTTCCTTTTTGGTTAGATGCAGGCAGCACGAGGAGGTGCTTCCGTCTGGTTTTGTTTCTTCCCTTCTATTCTTCTGCGGTTTCCTGATCAATGCAAAACTTTATTATTTAGGCGAAAGCCTGCGATGGTGTTCATTCCGTCTCCTCTCTGTGGCTGTCTGAGACGGATGAGCCCCTGGCATCCCTGGAAGAATTCTGATTCTCTGTCCTGCCCCTGCAGGGTGGTTTGTTCCCATTGCCTTTCCCCTGTCACCCGTGATGACCCCAGAGGACCAGCCTGCCTCCACCTCCTGGTCCTTCTGTTCCGCTCTCCTCTTGTAGACCTTCATCCCCTTTCCCCACGCAGCTGAACTGCAGCGGGCTTCCACCCGCCCCCAGCGCCCTGCCCTGCCTACACCACCTTGGCCTGCACTCTAGAGCTCCAGGTGCACCCCACACTCCGCTTTCAGTCAGCTCTCCTAATGTTGCTGAGGTCACAGCAATGTTTTCAGGTCACAAAGCTCAGGAGGGCATGCTCGTTTGTCCTTCCCACTTCTCCTCCATCCTGTTGTTTGGAACACTAAACAGAGTATAAATGAGACCCAGGAATCATGTCAAGGCAAGGAAAGCACGAATCCTGAAGACCCAGGAAACCAAAGAGCACGAGTTCTCTGGGTAAACATCAGCTTTCTCCACTTCTGGGCACGCAGGGTGTCGGAAGAAGGAGCGAGCCCTTTGCCTTCTGTGCAGTTCCTGCTTCCAACCATGAAGAAGTCTCTTTCCATTACTAAAACTTTTAGAGCAATACTTTTTAAAAAAAAATAACTCATAGAAAGCTCATCTACTTCTCTTCATCTTAAAATGGAATTTTTATTTATATTTTAATATAATGATCATAAAACTTACATACAACCCCCCCCCAAAAAAAGGGCCAGGTTCAAAATTTTGGTTGTGAACCAACTCTATTATTATTCCTTTAAACCATAAACATAACACTTAGCTTTGGATCTATTTATTCTTATGTGTCTTAATTTTTTTTCCTAGGAAACAAATCACTGGGGGTAGGAAAAGTATGGAGGGAATACGAGTCAAAGCTGTGAGTCTTTTGACATTTTCCCGGGCTAGTAGTGACCCCTTTATAATCATGTCTAAGCTAAAGAGATGTTTGCATTCACATTAAAAGCTAAGCTACAGTTCCCAAACAAAAAGATGCCCCTCCATCCACAAGTCTGGGCCGTACAGGACTACAGAATAGTCTATCAAGGCTGTCAAAAAAATGTTTGGATTCAAGTCATCAGCCCCCTGCCAATGATGGAAATTTATCAAATGATGTAAATGCTGCTGTGCCTCATTTGAGGCATAATTAGATTATGCTGACATTTTAATGTGCATGCACAGGACATCTTAATAAAGATGTATTCCTGGGGGGAAAATGTGATTTTAAACAAATGAAGACAACCATAGGATACCAGAGCCACATGAAACAGAACATGACAGGTACATGCTTGTGAAAAATAAGCTAGAAACACCTCCTATCTTCCGAGCTCTTCTCCAGATCACAAGGGAACTGAAGAAAGGTAGACAGGGGAAGAGTCATCCACCCAGAAAGCAGGCAGTCCCTCTGATTTCAGAGCAGTGGGCACAGAGCCAGAAGTGGGAGCTCAAGGCCCCACACCAATCCGCAGGAACCTACGAACCACCCCCACGTGTGTCTAGAACTCTGGGAGGCCCACCACAAGAGAAATGCATGACAAGTCTTCTCTGATGACCAGGCTTTCACAGTGAAATTAGAGAAGCAAATACTGTACATAGGAAAGAATTCCTGAGCAAGGCTGCCTTTCACAACACAGCAAATAATCTCGCTATCTGGATATGTGAAGCTGCACCGTAAAAATAAATGAATTAGAATGCTGGTCGCTTCTCAACTTCTGTGTGCAAAACTCGTGTGTAGTTGGGAGAATATGTGTCAGGTATTTTCAAACTCTGCAAAAAGAAATTCTTTTCTCACTGACTTAATTCTGTATAGGCTTAAGCTTGCATCCATGATGTGGAAACAGGCCAAGAAAAAAATATTTTAAGTTTTGGGCAATACAGCCTTTAGGTTTTCATGTGAATTATTTAAAATACATTGATCCTATGCAGTTATCTGAAGTCCTTGGGACCATAAGTTTTTTGGAGTTTTTTCAGGTTTTAGAATATCTGCCTGTACATAGTGAGGGATCCTGGGGAATGACACCTAAATCTAAATGCAAAAATTATTTCCATTTTGTAGACACATGACACCTACAGCCTGAAGACAATCTCATACAGTATATGTAGTACACCGGTGCTGGTTTTGGCCTCCACTTTGTGGAGTCACGTCAGCGCTCAAAAGGTTTGGATTATGGGACATTTAGGATTTCTGTATTAGTGATACTCAATCTGTGTCACCAATTCCCCAAAGAACAAACACCTCCTTTCCTCCTCCCCACCCTATCAAAGACTGCAAATATCATATTTCTCTTGTCTCTGTTGACTTCTTACTGCCCCTGATACTTAGAATTTTAAAACTTAAAAGCAAAGGGAAAGAGCCCTTGTACAGTGGGAGGAACCAGGCTACTTTTCTCTTTCCTCCTCTCTTTTCCTTTCCTTTGAGTCATAAAGAAAGAACTGGACTGTTCTTTGCAAGCACAAAGTCCTCTGCTTGTAAACAGCCCTCGTGTTGGACTGTGTGAGCCATTTCTAACAATAGGGAGAAAGTATTTCTAAAGATTCTTACTTTTTCACCTCCTGTCATCTCCTGCCATTTTTCCACTGTGTGTGACTATGCCCTTGCTCCGAGCACATATTTTTGATGTGGCAGGAAACTTTTTAGTAGCCTAGTTACCCATGAGAACAATCTAGGGTGGCTATTCGTGAGTCTTTCTGGGGCAGGCCTGGTCTGTGTGTTACAGCATAAGTATTAAAGCTGCTGTTTTCTCAGCAGACTATCTGCATTTGAATGATGAGTTATGTGGTTTCCCTTTATTCATCTGTTCAAGAAATAGCCATCATTACTGGCCAAGAAAAGTCTATATCTAAGTGTACATACCATGAATAAAAATTTTGATATCTATTCAGAAAGGCTGTTTTGGCTAATCAGATTATTTGGCTCTATATGTTTTATCCATAATTTGAGATAAACGCTAACATTGTAACTTTTCATGGCCCAACTTGCCCACACCTAGAAATTGTAACTATGGCCAGTTCCAAAGC